CTCTCGTTTTCTGGATTGTATGAAGCCAAAAAAAAACCAAATTTTGTAGTAGTTAATAACCAACTCGGTTCTCGACTTTCTAGTATTCCTCTCCAATATCATTGCCGTAGTAGCAACGACACAGATACCGGTGTCAGAACTTTAAGCGGCTTCAATGATAAGTGGACATCCACTTTTTATGATTCATGGGGTAGGTTTAGATGGGTTTGTGATTTACGCTTCCGGACTGAAAAAGAGTATTATTTTAATAAACTTGAAGTATATCGAGAAGCTTTTACAGTAAGATATGGTCAACTACGTCAATGGACTGCTAGAATCGATGGAATTTATTTTACAAGAGATTATAATAAACCAGTGAGACATGTACTTGACTGGAATTCGACAAAGATATAAGCTTTTATTTTCCCTAAATTTTACTAATATTTATGTAAGTTGGTTGTCTTTTATAAGTCTTATGAACTAATTCATAAAATCTAATAATTATTGAGTAAAATAGCTGAAAAATCCTAAACCCTAAACCCGAGGTTATTTAGTGCTTTTAATTATAATGAATGAATTAGCTGAAAAATCTAAAACAGAAACGAAATTGCAGAAATGACCAAAGATCCACCGAAAAACAAACGGTATTGTATGCGTGGTCATGAGCAAATACCATTATACCCTCAAAAAGGTTTGCCAAGTTGGTCGATGTGATGTATTCTGACAGGATATATATCATGATTTTGGGTAGAGTGACTAAAGATATAGGTATAGGAGGCAATATCTTTACATGAAATCACAGCCACACAATTTATTTCTGTCAGACGTGCCATATACATTATAATAAATTACATATTTTGTTATAGATTAACAGTTATTATATTATATATAAAAATATAAATTTAGATATAACATTATGTTTTACATGATAAAGATAATGTTAGATTGATAACAATAATAAGTTATATAGAGGATTAAAGATATTATTGATATACTCAGCATGTTACATATAAATTAATGTCTAACATTATAATTTATTAAATAAAAAATAGAGAATTTGCATCATTTGACGCAAATTAACATCATATTTGCAAAACTAATGTTACACTGTTTTCTGCACTATTCATTTTTTTTATATACAGAAAAGCCCCTACACATTAGACCATATCACCCTAATCTTACGTGAGATATTATGTAGGACTTCTAAATAGATGCAATTATGTGGATAGGAAGAGAGAGAATTTATCCCGATATAATTTTTCATTGTTTCGCTTCCCAAACCAAACAGAAACTCTCAATTTCTCTCTCTCTCTCAATTTCTCTCTCTCTCATTCTCTCTCTCTCTAAATCAGATCTACATATGTGATTTTTTTTTAATAGTGTGGTTGGCTTCTCCACGGTGTCTCCTTGCGTCAATTGGTGGTGGTAGAAGAGCTTAATGGTTTCTCTAGACTTGACAAATTTGGGGCTTACAGGACCCGATTTGGGCAATTCACGGTTCGCTTGGCCAGACGAAGCGGCTCGACTCCGTGTGGTTGCTCCAGGGGATACCACAGCGAAACCATCTGTGTGGCACCTTCTTTGTCGTGTTGAATCTGCTTGGAATTGACTTCTGGTCCTAAAAAAGATGTGCAGGAAGATTTGTGGTCAGAGGCTCGGCGCGGACAGCTTGGCTAGGCTGGTGAATTAGTCTACGTTCTTCATGGCTCAAGGTGATTCTATTATAATAGTAGATACTTTAATAGTTAACATATTTGGATAACAAAAACTGTAAAAAGGTAATAAAGTTTGGTTATTGTATTTGTTAATGTTAACAAAGTAACTCGATTATTATCTGATAATTTTACTATTTTTGTTGTTCAAGATATTGATTTGAAGATCCATAAATAATATGCTAATATGTATAACAAATATGGTGGATAGATAATTCCAATGTTAACAAAGTAACATTATTGTTACCTGATAACATTATTATTTCTATTATGTTAATGATATTAATTTTGATGGATAACAATGAGGTTACCGATTTTTGTATCAGAGAGTAATAAACCAGGTTTTGGTAATTAATTACATATTTGCTAACAAATTCATTATACAGATAATAAATATGTTGGATATCTAACATCAATGTTACCGAAGCAACAAATTATTTACCGATGATATTCAGATGGGTAAAATATGTAATAAAATTGTTAGGGATGAATTTATAATGTTACTTTTGACGCAGCTAATATTGTATCCAAGGATGTGAAATCTGTGATAATTGATTTATTACTCAGATTAATAAACGTCTTATCAAACTAACTATTAAATTATCATTTATGTTACCATAGTTCTAATATATATGATGTATGCTCAATATATTTTTGTTACACATACCCAAGCGTTATTAGTCAATAACGTGTCGCTTAACAGCACCAACCTAAGAATTAGATGTATGTACGTTTGTCTAAGTAATTTTTTGCATATCTCAGTATTTAATACTCATTTGAGTGGGAAAGTAGTGTGTGGCTGATATTATATGTGAAAATATATCATAGATATTTTCCATATCTATACCCCACCTATTATTACTCTACGAAATCATTATGTTTCCTATTAAAAAAATTAACGCTTATGTAAAAGAAAAGAGGGGTTTTTTGGTATTTTCTACTAACCTTTGCAACATGGATTTTCATTTGTTGTGGGGTCATAGTTAGATCTCCAATTTCGCCATCTCCCATGAATATCTACCTTATTCACTCTAAAAAAATATGTAAGATTAATAACAATAATGAGTTATATAGATGATTAAAGATGTTATTGATATACTTAGCATGTTACATATAAATTAATATCTAATATTATAATTAACTAGATAAAAAATATGTTAGATTGATAACAATAATGAATTATCTAGATTGTTATAGGTATTATTTTTGTAGTTAATGCGCTACAAATACATATAACACTTTATATGTATTGTTAGCATTCTAACAATAATATTATAGAGTAATTCAGATAGATACACACTATTATATACGTTTGCATCAATCTAATAGGATCATCGTTTATTCTAGCAGTTGAATATGAAGTTGTTTTTCCGTATAAAAGAAAACCAGAAAAGAAACTTAATTTGATCCTAAACGGCAATACTGTTTAACATCGTTTGTTCTAGCAGTTGAATCAAAGTGTGGTCTCTACCTCAGAATTTACCCTAAACGCCGATGAAGGCTGTCAGAAAATGTCAAGCGAGCATGTAATACAATGAAGGCTTGTCCATCATCGGTAAAAGCTTTCCCAATTGGGAGTCTCAGAGTCTCTTTACTTCATCTTCGTCAAGAGCGTTAATAATAGCCTGTACTGATTTAACTTTTCTGTTACGAATTCACCCTCTCTCCTACGGGCTCCTGGCCGACAGCAAACAATCTCTCGAGAAATTGAATATTAGGCATCCTTTCATTTTAATTAAAAAAGAAATTCACAGTCAAATATCATCTTGAAAATCATTGGACAAATTCAAAAAGGTATAATAAAGAACTTACGCACGGACGATCGACGATAATCTACGAAAAGCTCGGTGGATTTTGATAAAAAAATCGGCTCCGGAAGGGAGAACGGCGGCCAAAACAAGAGAACTGGGTTCTTTGGTATTCCGTCTAACTTAAAAATTACCCAAAATTTTAAAGAGTTTATGACAAATAACGGTGTATAACATAATATAAGTATAAATAAATTTGAAATTTGAATTATGGAAGAATATTAAAATATTTTACTGACAAAATATCTTCTAAACAGCGAGTATGATCGTAGGCGAAATAGGGTAAATAGGGCTAAGATGGCCATATTGGAATGTGCACAGTTCCAAAATATTGCTGAAGATGGTTTTGCAAATTAGGAACAGAAACGAGGTTATCTAATGCATTTATTTATAATTATTTGCTATAATAATATATAGCAAAATATAATTAAAATATGAATTTATACATATATTGTTTTAATGTTTTAAAAAAAATAACATATTAGAAAACCTAATCAATATTCCACGAGGGTTTGTTGCAAATCATACTTAAAATTTCATCAGTATCAGAAATTAAGTCATTTAAAAGAGTAAAACAAGGAGAGAAACTCATAGAGAGGACAAGAGCAATCTCCCAGCCACTTTTCCGTATTGCGAGATCTGATAGGACAACTCAGTGGCGCCGCCGCCATAATAAGACGTCAATGGAGACAGAAGCAAGAGTAAGAAAAATAGAAGGCGGAGAAAGCAGCATATTGGCATCTTCCAGAAACAGAGATGATGATCTATGACAGATGAAAGTGTGATGCTCGGAAGAGGAGATCAGATTTAAGAATCGGGAGATGGAGATTAAGCGGAGATTACATATATGCTTTTTCCTGCAAGTCTTGTGATACTTCAGCTGCTCGATTGTCTTTGTTGATTGTTGATCCTTTGGTTTTTCTTGTTAAGATAAGAAGACAAGAGTCATGAGGTCGGCTCAAGAAGAAATCAAAGAATCAAAAGAAGGAAGAGATTGTCACAGATGAAACAGGAGCGAAAAAATAAGATCTCGAGAAATGTGCCTAAGAGAAAATTTGCCCTAGCGATTTCCTCTTCCGCGGCGCCGCCGCTTGGTTTCTTTCCGGCGTCGTTTCCTTTCTCCTTTTCTTCCATCCACTTGGTTCTGCTTCCCGGATAACGATTCTAGCTCTTTCCCTTCGACGGCTCCGGCTTCTCCGAGGCCTGCAGAGATCTCTCTCCTACCTCAGATATCCTCTCCTTCGAAGCAGCTTCCTCCGATCTATCAGATCCAAACTCAGAATGCTCAGCTCGAATCAACCTCTCCAGATCTGGCTTCCCCGACAGCTGTAATTGGTCATACGTCTGTCTCTCTCGCGCCTGCTCCTCGAACTGAGGATATGGACGATCTCCATCTTTGTCCTCTCCGGTCCTGTATCATTTGATTTTGCCTTCTATTTCTGCAAGCTCTGCCCTTCCTTATGCAGAGCGATTCAAGGCATCTCTCCGCAACCTCAAGAAAATGGGTTCTCCGTCTTATCAGTCTGATGGAATGCCGGTTGTGAAGGCTCCTCCTACTGTTATTCTGCAGACGTCTGAGATGTGGAAGGGACACATTTTTGCGCTGTTCCACGGTCTCTTTCCTCCTGCATCTGTTATATTTGCTGACCTCAATCCTATTTGGGGAAAGAATGAAAACATTAGCAGAGGAAAATCTCAGAGACAGCCTGTCTCATCTTCATTTCCTATGTTACAACTCGAGAATAGGTTCTGCAAGTGGGTATTTGGCATGCCGGGAACTGTTATTTCGTCGTTTCTCCTTGGTCTGCAGCTACCTCTTTTCAGTTTCAGGATCTAGTATCAGCACCAACTTAGGCAATCCTCAGTAATGTTCCGCCTGCGCTTTATTCACTCGTCGGTATCAGCACTATTTCCGGCACCATTGGAGAGCCTCTTCCCACTGAACACTCTCGTCTTGATTCGGTGAACATTGGAGTTACTAAAGAAAAAGTGGAAATCATACTCGACAGCTCTCCTCCCTCCTTGGTTATTGTCATGGATGATGAGGGTAACACGGCAATGATTCAATTCTCCTATCCTAAACTTGCTCCTAAGTGCCTCAACTGTACCAAATTTGGTCGTTTACTCAATCGATGTCCTCATCTTTTAAAGAAAAGGTCCCTTCTAGCTCGGTCAAGGGTCAGCAAAGATAAATCTTCCTCCTCGACGTTTCCTTCTGACTCTTCTGATGTCCTGCCTAACCTTGGCTCGAGTGTTTCATCCGATGCTATTGTTTTGGAGGTGCCTCCTCCTGGTGGGTCACGCAATGAGGATGTTCCAGATCATATCTCTCGAGCCTCCAAGAAAACAGCATCCCGAGCACGCTCCCGCTCTTGTGCGAAGTCGAGGCTGAAAAATCTTAGTCGTCCGCCTGTGGTTGATCCTGTAGTTGTTGAGCTGAAGATCAGATCTCGGATACTCCTGCTTTCTTGTCTGCTAATCCAAGTGACGACTCGAATGCTCCTCCTCCATCTCACCCGAATGAGAATATCGATCAGACTCTGGTCCCTGCTTCTACCTCATCACCTCAGGCCTCGCTTCTTCTCTCTGTTGAGTCGGTTCTCTCTGACATTGCGTTTCCCTCTAACACAGCACGTAAGAAGGCAAAGAGGAGATTACTGGCAGCGCTTTTGTCACAGGCTCCTCCAGATTCGTCTCTAGCTCAAGTCCCTGTAAGTGCTCCCGCCTTGCCAAAGGACTCCAATCTCGCTTAACTCGGTCCCCTTCACATCTTGTAAATAATGAAGGTATTCTGCTAGAATATTAGGAGGCTAAATACTGACTCAAGACAGCGTGTTCTTTGTAACGGGGTACTTCTAACAACTCTCTCTTTGGTGGGATTTTGGAGACTCGTGTGAAGGTCGATAAGTCGGCTGACATTCTCAGGTCAACTTTTCCTGGCTGGAGGTCCGACAATAATATGAGTTTGCTGAGAATGGAAGGATTTGTATCGTCTGGGATCCTTCCATTTCTGTCATCACTTTCTCTAAATCTGATCAGTATATTCGTTGTGGTATTCATATTCCGGCTACTAATATCTCGTTCTCTATGGCTTTTGTCTATGTTCATAATAACGAGGGTTAAAGGAAACACTTTTGGCACAGATCTCTAATCTGTCTGCGAACTCTCCGATCAGGTTTTGTCCTTGGATTATTGATGGGGATTTCAACCAGATTGCTTCCACCTCTCAGCACTATTCGATCATTTTTCAGCATTATCTCTCTCTGGCATTCATGACTTGCAATCATGCTTGGAAGATAATGAGTTACAAGATCTTCAAAGCCGTGGGGCTTACTTCACTTGGTCTAATCTTCTTCATGAAGACCCGATTCTCAGGAAGCTTGATAGGGTCTTGGTTAACGACGCTTGGAATTCAGCTTTCCCTGAATCCGTTGCAATCTTTGAACCTCCTGGGGATTCTGATCATTCGCCAAGTCTTATTTGCTTGGATTCATCTCTCCCAGTTATTAAGAAGTGCTTCAAGTACTTCTCCTTTCTCGCTTCTCACCCGTCTTTTCAGGATAACAACTCTGAAGCCTGGAATTCTCCCATCTCTGTGGGATGTGACATGTTTTCTCTTGGCCAAAGGTTGACTGCAGCCAAAGCGTGCTGTAGGAAACTTAACAAGGAGGAGTTTCGGAATATTTAGCAGAGAGCCAAAGACTCACTCACTCGCTTTGAGGAGATTCAGGCTGAGCTTCTTACCAACCCTTCGGTTACTCTTTTCAGGAATAAGTTGATACTAGGCACAACTGGAACTTCTTCTCTACTGCTTTGGAGTCTTTTTACAGACAAGAATCAAGAATTCGCTGGCTAAAGGATGGAGATGCAAATACAACCTATTTTCACAAGGCTGTGATTGCACATCAAGCCAAAAATGTGACCAAGTTCCTCAGAGATGGTCAAGATAATAGGATTGACAATGTAGATCAAATCAAGGACATACTCATCTCCTTCTACAGGCAGCTTCTCGGGACTGAATCCCGTAACATTACTCTTCTTTCTGTTGATTCCATGTGCAGCATTCATCCTTTTCGCTGCTCCATAGATTTATCACAGGTTCTTTCTCAGATACCTTCTGATGAGGAAATCTTAGCCACTTTCTATACCATGCCAAAGAGTAAGGCACCAGGTCCCGATGGTTTTCCTGTTGGGTTTTTTCTTGAAGCATGGCAGGTGGTTGGAGAGGGCTCAGTCAAAGCGGATAAGGAACTCTTCATCACCTCTCCTCTGCTTAAGCGGTTTAATGCGACCACCACTGCTTTGCTTCCTAAAATCCCTGGTGCTGGCATGGCTCCTCAAGAGCAAACTCAAATTGTTTATTCCTGATGCAAGACAGCTGCATCAGGTGGGTTTCATAAAAGGTCGGCTGCTCTGCAAAAATGTCCTCCTAGCTTCTGAACTAGTGGAGAGTTTTCATAGAATTGGTCCTACGCGGAGAGGTTGCCTTCAGATTAATATCACAAAGGCCTTTGATATCCTGAACTGGGCATTTCTTCTCAACATTCTTGAAGCTCTCAAACTTCCCTCTACGTTCATCTCTTGGATTCAGAAATGTATCTCTTCTCCTTTATCGAGCAGTGCGTTTAATGGATGACTGATCGGATTATTTGATGGGAAGAAGGATCTAAGGCAAGGTGATCCTATCTCCTCCTCTTGTTCGCTCTTGCAATGGATGTATTATCAAAATTGTTGGACAGGGATGCCAGTGAGTTTATATTTCAACCTCACCCCCCAATGCCATGCACCTATCATCACACATCTTAGTTTCACCGATGATGTCCTCAGTTTCTTTGATGGCTCAAAGGACTTCCTCTCAGGTATTCTTAATATTCTAGAGGAGTTCCAGATGATCTCTGGCTTGGGCATGAATAAGGAGAAATCCTTTCTCTTTCTTGACGGTGGGAACTTCCAGAGGACTCATGAGATTTGCCAAAGACATGGACTCGCTCAGGGCTCCTTTCCTTTTTGTTATCTTGGCGTTTCACTAACCACAAAGAAAATGTCTAAGCATGACTACCAACCGCCCATTGAGAAAACTGCCAAACACTTCTCGTCCTTATCTGTCTGCCACCTTTCTTTTGCTGGGAGACTCCAACTCATCCAATCAGTCATCTATTCCACAATAAACTTTTGGAGCTCTATATTTATTCTTCTGAAGCAGTGCATCACCACACTTAAAAAAATGTGCAATTCCTTTCTTTGGAAGGAGGATCCTTCATCCGCGCGGGGAGCCAAGATCTCGTGGGACTCTGTTTTACCTCCTAAGAGGGCTGGTGGTCTGGGTTTGCGGCGTATCTCTGATAGGAATCAAGTAATCAGACTCAAATTAATTTGGCTTATTTTTGCATCATCTAGTTCTCTATGGGTCTCTTGGGTTCGTCTTCATTTGATTCAAAACGGTAATTCTGGGGTACCATCGCTGACAGTGGGAGCTGGATCTGGAAACAGCTTCTAGAGCTGCGACACCTTGATCGACCTTTCATTTATTGCGAGATTGGTTCTGGTATATCTGCCAGCTTTTGGCATGATAATTGGATGTATTTAGGACCTCTTCTTGACATTACTGGTCCCAGCGGCCCTCAAACCTCAGGTATTCCATATGACGCGGTGGTCGCTGATGCTATCACTGATGGAAAGTGGTGATTAGAGTCTTCTAATTCTCGTCACCCGATTCTATCTATCCTTCGCCAATGTCTCCCTCCTGCCTTGCCCATCTTTTCTTCTATTTTGGACGACTCTTATAAATGGAAGATCGGACAGTCTGGAGTTCCAAAGTTGTTTTCCACTTCTCTTACCTGGTTTGCTCTCCATCCTCCGGGCCCTTCTGTAAGCTGGTACAAGTCTATCTGGTTTAAGGGAAGGATCCCAAAACATTATTTCCTGAGCTGGGTGACTATCAGGAAAATGTTATATATGAGGGATAGACTTCGCATGTGGGGGCTCCCAATTTCTCCTCGCTGTCTCTTATGTGACACCGAAGACGGAAGACGAAACTAGACAGCACCTTTTCTTTGATTGTACTTTCAATAGGGAGATCTGGTCGGCGTTTTATTCTGCTGCCAGCCTTTCTCCTCCAAGTGATTTCGATTAATGCATCATCTGGCTTTTGGCTCCTTCTGCTGAACGTAACATCTCCACCTTCATGAGGCTTGCATTTCAAGCTTCTTTGTATAGCACATTGTTGGAAAGGAATGCTAGACTTTACTCTGGTACATCCTCCATAGTTTCAGCTATCGTTGCTGGGATTAAGAAGACTATTCAATGTCGTCTTGACCCTCTAGCTCGAGCTCATACTTCCACCGCCACAACCTCTTCGATCCTAGCTTCTTAGTTCTCTCTCTTCTAACTCTAATTTTCTCTTTATGAGATTTTAGCTTAGGTATCTATATCTTCATTTTTTGGTATCCAGACCATTTGATCACCGGCCTGTTGTCTTGTGCTGTAATCCTGCGGGGAATCGTTTGTATTTGGTTTATCAATGAATGAAAAAAAGTTAAAAAAAAAGAAGAAGAAGAGATTGTCGTGTATCAAAGAAGAAGAAGAGATGAATAAGAGGGTCAACAAGAAGGAAAGTCAACTCTGGAGTAAGGAATTGGGCTTCATGTTTAGAGTAATTGGCCAGCAAATTGTCATCAGTCCAGGAAAAGAAGCGATTAATTGTGTGTAAATGTGTGTGTGTGTTGAGATGATTAAGTCTAAGTTGGAGCATTTAGAGTTGCTGTATAAGTTAAGTGATGGTTGTAAGAGGTGTGTAAGACTAGACGTAAGTCTTGTATAAACTACTATAAGAGTTAGTAAAATCAGAGTGTAGTTGTATTACTTCTCTATAAGATTGTAAGCTATCATTTTAAGAAGGATAAATGAAATGGATGAGAAGAAAAGTTAAGAAAATAAGTTCCAAAAGAAAGAAAACAAACATGAGTGAAAAAAGAGTATTTCAACAGTCTTCCCCTTAGATTATTGTAGTGGACACCAACGTCGCTCTTCACCAAGTAATTTCCTTTGATTTATATATAAAGATATTATAAGTTGAGGTGATGAACAGAAATCAATCAAGCTCGATCTGTCATGGTGAAAGATGAGCTTGAGGAGAAGAAGATAGAAGTTATTTTGGGAAAATTTCTGTTAGATTGGATAACGCTCGAAAAAGTGCTTATATACCATTGAGAAAAGTGTAACTGGAACAAATTGGGACTATGGTATATACAACTAAACCAAAATTTATTTACATAATCCGATATTCGCCCTCAAGATGGAGTATAAATGTTAATGATCTCCATCTTGCTTAGTAACGATTTGAACTGAGTAGGAAATAAAGGTTTGGTAAAAAAATCAGCGAGCTGATTGCCTGTGCGAACATGAAGAGTCTTCACAAAGCCTTTATCCACAACCTCACGAACCTACTGACAATCCAATTCCACATGTCTTGTTCTTTCATGGAAAACATAATTATTAGTAATACTGAGTGCTGCTGTATTGTCACAATATGAACCCGAGGGAGATGTCGTGTCGACCCAAAGATCATGTAGAAGATACCGTAGCCATAACATTTCATGAACAGCCAGAAACATGGAGCGGTACTCAGCCTCTGCAATTGACATGACAACAACATCCTACATATCTGAGACGTTCTTTAAAGTAATATCACCGTTAGTCGAACATTTTTCCATTATTTGGATCTTATGTCGGTCCGACCTTACTACGTATTCGGACCTTACGTGGGCCGAACCTTTCACGGGTCGAACCTACCTGATAGGTCTTATAAGTGATTTTATTTCATCCAACAACTTGCCCCCACTCTCCAATTCCTATTTAGGATTTAGAGAGTAGTAGATCTTGCATTACCTCGAGACAAACAATTTTGCTCTGAAATTACTCGCTAACATTTACGTTGCATCAGATATATGGACATCTCAACTTGAATACCTTGACAATGTTGCTTCAGATAATTAAGTAGGACACTTTCTATTTCACTTTAACGTGAACTAATGTGTCTTCCTTGAAACACATACTGAATCCACGTAATGGACTTTATTAATCACCCACTTGTATTTAAATGGGCAACACATTCCTTCTAGCCACGTGAAACAAAAGTTTGTCTATTTCCCATAATCTTTAGTGAAATGGGCCTTTTAAGAACAAGCCCAACAAACTAGTCACTTAGGTCAAAGTGTAGAGCTTTTGTGTCGTTTTTTTACCAGCTTCCTGCCTCTTTTCATTTCACAGTCAATTTTTAACTTCAATTCATGGAGAATTTCACAGGTACTTCCTTATCTGTTACTTCAAGCTTTATTCATCTTCATTTTTGCACCTTCTTCCTCATCTATTTCTGCACCCTCGTTTCTGACACTTTGTGATGTCGTTTTTTTTTTGTTCCAGACTTGCCATTTTAATGACAACTCTCAACTCTCAGCTCCAAACGGACTAACCCACGCCCATATGACCCAAACCGCCGTGGTTCAGTTTGTTTTCTAGACCGGCGCGGATCAACCCGCTTGAACCGCAGGCAACGGAAACACTGTCCACGCCCACCCCGCTTTAAACAGCAGGTCAAACTGACTAACCCGCGGGTTGTTTGTGGGTTATGATGTGCAAGGAAGCTGTTTGACTAAGCCTGTGTGCCACCGTGTCCCACCGGTGAGTTTCCTGATCACGCGACATGGCTGCTCCAATTTTATGTTCTTCAGCCTTCAAGTGAGAAGAGTATCGAATCTGTAAGAGACCATCGAATCTGTAAGCTACTCTGCTACTTGCTCTTAAGATTTTTCTTATTAATTGTGGCAGAATGCTCTTGCCGGCCTTTGAATACTCATAACAGTTCCTGTGACTGAATGTTTTATCATCTAGTTGGAGCTTCTCTTTTTGTTTGTTTCTTTAATTTTCTGAGGTTGTGGACATATCCGCTGCTGGATTTCATCCTTTTTATGGATAAAAATGACTTACAGCTGAAGAACCAGTTGAGAGACAGAGAAAGAGCTCTAATTTTGAAGGAGAAAGACATTGAAGCAAGAGTGCAGCGTGAGGAGGAAGAGCAGAACAAGGAACAAAAAAAAGTCAAAAGAGGAACAAATGTCATTGATCAACCAGTTGAATTCTGCAAAGGATGTGGTGACAGGATTAGGCCGGGAGCTAAGCAGCGAAAAGAAATTATGTACGGAGCTTAGAGCTCAAATCGAAAGTCTGCAATATAATCTGTCAAAGGCCATCGAAGACAAAAAGGCACTTGAAACAGAGCTCAGAAAAAAGCTTGATTTGGTTGAGGGGCTACAAGATCGGATCCACTTGCTTAGTTTGGAGCTGAAAGATAATGAAGAAAAAGCTCAACA